AAGGGAGGTCGCTTGCTTGCGGGAGCGGAGGCTTCCGGTGCGCGAGGGTCCAGCAACCTAGAGGTCTCCCGGGCTCGGGCGCGAGGAATGTGTGGGCTGCTGCGTGAGAGGGGCACGGGTGTTAGGTTTGCGCGGCGGCGGCCGTGAGAAGAAAAGGAGGAGGGGAGGCACAAAACAGCGCGTTTCTCATCGGGCACCTTTCTATCTATTTGGCTACTCCTAGCCTCCGTACCGGCTCAGGATTCGTGTGAAAATTGAAGCTGAGAGAGATCAAGCGATTTCTCTGAACTCAGCTGTTAAGTGGCTGAGTCAGAATTTGAAGCCAGACCTGACGGCCTTGCTTCCAGGACCATTGTTGCCGGCCCGAGGAGACCTCAGCACAGCTGAGGGGTTTGGGAAAGCGTTCACTCATCCAGCCACTCGCTCATTCATTCCTTCACTCCTCCACTCTTTCGCGCAACTGATCTAATATATATTAAGCGCCTCCTGTGTCCAAGCACTGTGCTAGTTGCTGGAGACGGAAATACATCCCTGAAGAAGCAAGTTCCTTAGAGGATTACATTCTGATCCAGTCCGTGGCAAATGGAGAGCAAGGAAACCAATAAAGAGGGCACTGTAATCATGATAGGGTCGAGAATAAACCAGGGATGGGGCAGCAGGGAGTGGCCAGGCAGGACCTCCTGAGCTGGTTACATTTCAACGAAGACCTGAATGATCCAAAGGAGGTAGCAGGAACACCATGTGCAAAGGCCCTGGGGATATATGTTTGGAAATAAATGATAAATCCAACACAAAAACTTTTTTTTTTAATTTTTTAAATTTTTGAGACAGGATCTCATTATGTAGTTGAGACTGACCTGGAACTCACTATGTAGCCCAGGCTGGTTTCCAACTCACAGCGATCCTCCTGCCTCAGCCTCCCCAGTGCTGGGATTACAGGTGTGCACCACCATGCCTGGCTCAAAACTCTTTGTCACAAGTGGCCTGCAGAGCCCTTACGGAGCCCTTACATGTATGTGGAAAGAAACAAAGGTGCAAGGTCACATGGCTAACCCCTATCCAAGTAAGGATCATTGTTCTGGGGTAGCGCTTACTAAGCTGCTCTCCATCCACTGCTTCCGCTCAGGCGGCTGCTGTTCTCTCCCACGTGGACGACCTCAGCAGCCTCCAATCTGCTATGGCAATCAAGTCTACTCAAAACACCCTCCTGCCCAAGCCTTTAAATGCTCCCCATTCCCTCTACAAAATAGCAGGAGTTGAGTACGGAATTAC